TTTTATATCTGATTCTTTTGTTCTTTCTTAAGAACTTTTTTGAAAGAAATTGAATATTATTAAAGTTTATTTCCTAATATCAATTCTTTTTGCCTTTACTTTCTTAATAAAGTGTATTATATTTTTTTATCTGATTCTTTTGGCATTTTTTTTATTAAACTGTATTTCTGATTTTTATCTGATTCTTTTGCCTTAAAAGCATTAAAGGATTAAAAAGATTGTTTTTATCTACTTTTGAGATTTTTTTAAAAGTGTATTTCCTGATTTTTTATATCTGATTCTTTTGCCTTACTTTCTATGGGAGGTCATTGTTTATATTTATTCTTTTGCAGTGGGAAAAAGAAGAAGAAGAAGATTCTTTTGAAGAAGGTAGGAGGAGGATTAAAGTTTTTCCTGATATATCTGATTCTTTTGCCTTTTACTTTCTTATTAGGACGGGAAGAGAAAAGTTTTTAAGATTCTTTTGCCTTAAAAGAGGGGAAAGAACTTCCTGATTTTTATATCTGATTCTTTTTCCTTAATTCTTAAGAAAAAAGGAACAGAAAATTTTATATCTGATTCTTTTTGCCTAAATAAAAAAGGTATTACCTCATTGTTTTTATCTGATTCTTTTTGCATCTTTTTTTTATTAAAGTGTATTTCCTTCGATCAGATTTTTTGCAGTTTCTTATTAAAGGTCCTACCTCATTGTTTTTATTTTTCTTTTGCCTTATTTTTTTATTAAAGTTTTTTTTTATCTGATTCTTTTGCCTTACTTTCCGATAAATCAGCTCTAACTCATTGTTTTTATCTGATTCTTTTGACTTATTTTTTTTTATTAAAGTTACTTCCTGATTTTTATATCTGATTCTTTTCGTTACTTTCTTATTAAAGTGTATTACCTCATTGTTTTTATCTAATTCTTTTGCCTTATTTTTTTTATTAAGTTTCAAATATCTGATTCTTTTGCCTTACTTTCTTAAAAAATTACCTCATTGTTTTTATCGTTCTTTTTGCCTTATTTTTTATTAAAGTGTATTTCTTGTTTTTATATCTGATTCTTTTGCCTTACTTTCTTAAAAGTGTATTACTTCATTGTTTTTATCTGATCATTTGCCTTATTTTTTTTATTAAAGTAAATCTGATTCTTTTGCCTTCCATTAAAGTGTATTACCTCATTGTTTTTATCTGATTCTTTTGCCGCCTTTTATTAAAATGACTTCATTTTTATATCTGATTCTTTTCCTTAACTTTTCTTATTAAAGTGTATTACCTCATTGTTTTTATCTGATTCTTTTGAAATTTTTTTTTATTAAAGTGTATTTCTGATTTTTAATTGATTCTTTTGCCTTTATTTCTTATTAAAGTCATTACCTCATTGTTTTATCTGAAAGCCGGTAAACGTATTTCGGATTTTTATATCTGATTCTTTTCCTTACTTTCATAAATCTATTACCTGCTGATTCTTTTAACTTTTTTTTTTATTCGTCCATTTTTATATCTTGATTCTTTTGCCTTATTTCTTATTAAAGTATTACATTGTTTTTATCTGATTCTTTTTGCCTTATTTTTTATTAAAGTGTATTTCCTTGATTTTATTCAAAGAAAAATTTCTTATTAAAGTGTATTTACTCATTCATTTTATCTAATTCTTTTGCCTTATTTTTTATTAAAGTGTATTTCCTGATTTTTATATCTGATTCTTTTGCCTTAGAAGTGTATTACCTCATTGTTTTTTATCTGATTTGTGCCTTTTTTTTATTAAAGTGTATTTCCTGATTTTTATATCTGATTCTTTTGCCCATTTCTTATTAAAATGGACTTTTCTGATTCTTTTTGCCTTTAAATACTGCGATTCTTTTGGTCCTTACTTTTCTTATTAAAGTGTATTACCTCATTGTTTTTATCTGATTCTTTTGCCTTATTTTTTTTATTAAAGTGTATTTCCGTTTTTATATCGCTTTGCCACTTTCTTAGCGAACGGTTCCTCATTGTTTTTATCTCTTCTTTTGGCTTTTTTTTATTAAAGTGTATTTCCTGATTTTTTTATATCTGATTTTTGCCTTAATTCCTTATTAAAGTGTATTACCGCCATTTTTTTCTGATTCTTTTGCCTTCGACCGCTTATTAAGGTGTATTCCCTTACCTTGTAATTCTTTTTGCCTTAATTTATTAAAGGTATTAACTGATTTTTTATCTGATTCTTTTCCTTAACCGATTATTATGTATTCCCGGGTATCTGATTCTTTTGCCTTAATTCGTTAAAAGTGTATTACCTCATTTTTTTATCTATTCTTTTGCCTTACGACTTTATTAAAGTGTGTTTCTCATTTTTTTATATGTGATTCTTTTGCCTTAATCGCTTATTAAAGTATATTAACTTATTTTTCATCTAATTCTTTTGCCTTAACCGATTATTAAGCTGTATTCCCTGACCTTGTATCTGATTCTTTTGCCTTAATCGCTTATTAAAGTGTATTACCTGATTTTGTATCTGATTCTTTTGCCTTAATTGCTTATCAAAATGTATTATCTTATTTTTTTATCTGGTTCATTTGTCTTTCTTCAGACAGCCTTGTTTTAAAATTTTATCTTACTATTTTCAGCTAGACTTATTTACTGTCAATCTTGTCATGCTCCTTTTCTACGCGTTTTCTTTTCTTAGGCAGCCAGTGATAATCGAACTGACTTTTCACTCGTAATTGATCTACCGAGACCAGCTTTGCTAATTGATCTTGCGAGACAAGCTTTCTAACCATTATACCACGTTGATTTTCTTTCTCAATCTGTTCTGTCTCGGAAAAAATCAACGCAACGGTGTTGTTGCCTAAAGGCTGTTAGCGATAACTATATTCAAAAATATATTGGAATATTTGACTGGTTTATAAAGATTATGTTACATGGGTGTTCTTTGGGAAGAACTTTTCTGAAAGAAATTGAATATATAGTTTATTTAACGGGTTCAAATAGAGGCTATATTTTAGCAGGCATTCATAACAAACTTACAAGTGGCTCGGAAAAGCCCAAAGGACAAAAGAGAAAATACTGAAAAAAAAGCCTTGAAGGGAGATATGACGCCCTTTATATTTACGTGGGGGGAAGAAGAAAAGAAGAAGAAGAAGTTGCTCAAGGAGGAGGAGCGAACGGTTCGGAGAAAAGATAAAGAATAAAAGAGGGGGAGAACAGGGCGATAAAAAAGAAGAAATAGGAAGAAAAAAGGAACAGAAAAGAGAAAGAGAAACGTTGTGTAAATAAAAACGGAGAAGCCTGTAGCTTTGGACATCTCGAAAGCCTTCGACAGGGTTGGCAGTTAGGTCCTACGCTGATTTTAATTTTCATTAACGACTTTACCGATAACATCAGCTCTCAACTCAGCATCTACGCTGACGACACTATCATTTACGCCTACCTCGTTACTAAGGCTGATCAGTCCGACAAGTTCAAAATGGCAGCTGATGTAAAAAAAAACGACGTCAAGATCGTTGTTAACAAGGGCAAATGATGGCTTGTCAATTTTAAGGCCTACAAAACTGAACCTCTCTCGACTAATCATCTAATAAACCGCTCTTTGCCTTCCATCGGTATGGCTGATGCTATCCGCCTCGAAAATGACTCATTGCGACGTCTCCGGCTAACGTTCTCAGCTAACATGAAATGGAAAAACTATATCGAATTCATTGGCAACGCCGAAAGGCGGAAGAGACAATTCTTCCTTCATAAATCTATCTTGCATACTTTTAACTCTATTATTCGTCCATGCTTAGAATATTACTGACATACATGGTCCGGTACCCCAGTGATTTACCTGAAGCTCCTTGATGAGTTCCAAAGAAAAATCAGCAATATTATTTACCTTGATCTGGCAGCTCGGCTTCAGTCACTTGCCAGCAGACAGTAAGGTTCCCTCTTTGTGCCTTTTTTTTATAAATGATATGGGATCTTACCCATAATAATAATAATGGACTATTCCATACTTAATAAATACTGCGCCTCAGGAGTAGGCAAGGAGTCCGTCGCCCACTTTCTGAGCGAACGGTTCGGTTTAACTCTCTGCTTTCGGGCGGGAGGAACCCGAAGGAGGCTACGCCGAAGGGCGGAGTCTCCTTCGGGGAGGTAAAACCGGCCCTGAACCAGTTTTTACGGGTTTAAATGGGCTATTTTTTGGACGAGCCTAATGGCTCGGAAATGCCCACGTTAAAAAGGCCTTGTGCCACATGACGCCCTCGTGGGGGACGACTAAATATAGTCCGTCGCTCACTTTCTGAGCGAACGGTTCGGTTTAACTCTCTGCTTTCGCGCGGGAGGAACCCGAAGGAGGCTACGCCGAAGGGCGGAGTCTCTTTCGGGGAGGTAAACCGGCCCTGAACCCGTTTATACGGTTTCAAATGGGCTATTTTTTGGCCGAGCCTAATGGCTCGGAAATGCCCACGTTAAAAAAGGCCTTGTGCCATGACGCCCTCGTGGGGGACGACTAAATATAGTCCGTCGCTCACTTTCTGAGCGAACGGTTCGGTTTAACTCTCTGTCTTTCGGACGGAGGAACCCGAAGGAGGCTACGCCGAAAGGGCGGAGTCTCCTTCAGGAGGTAAAACCGGCCCTGAACCCGTTTATACGGGTTCAAATGGCATATTTTTTGGCCGAGCCCAATGGCTCAGGAAAACCCACGTTAAACAACCGACTTTGTGTCGCATGTTGCCCCAGTGGGGGACGAATAAATATTGTCCGTCGCTCACTTTCTGAGCGACTGTTCGGTTCAACTCTCTGTCTAAGGACGGGAGGAACCCGAAGGAGGCTACGCCGAAGGGCGGAGTCTCCTTCGGGGAGGTAAAACCGGCCCTGAACCCGTTTATAGGGGTTCAATGGGCTATTTTTTGGCCGAGCCTAATAGCTCGGAATGCCCACGTTAAAAAGGCCTTGTGCCACACGACACCCTCGTGGGGGGGGGTGACTCAATATTGTCAGTCGCTCGCTTTGAGTCAGTCAGTAGTTCACTACAGACTGTTCGGTTCACCTCTCTGTCTATGGACGGAGAGGAACCCGAAGGAGGCTACGCCGAAGTGGGGAGTCTCCTTCGGGGAGGTAAAACCGGCCCGGAACCCGTTTATACGGGTTCAAACGGGCATATTTTTGGGCCGAGCTCACGGGCTCGGAAAACCCACAATAAATAACCGACCTTGTGTCACATGTTGGCCCAGTGGAGGGGGGAGACTGAATATTGTCAGTCGCTCGCTTTCTTAGCGACTGTTTGGTTGTACTCTCTTCCTACGGACGGGAGGAACCCGAAAGTGGCTACGCCGAAGGGCGGAGTCTCTTTCGGGGAGATAAGTAGTTCAAGTTCAAGTTCAGTAGTTCAAGTCGAGTCAGTAGTTCAAGTCGAATCAAGAGTCAAGTCAGAGGCAGTCCGAAACAGAGTTGTGTTCAGACAATTACTGCAAGACATTAGAATAGTGATACTGGTCGAGACTACATTGTTCTCCCTACTAAACCTGATTGTTCATGCTAACACTTCTACTTCTCTGTATATATTCCTGTTTGTAATATATCTGTGTTATTCCATACCTGTGTTCGCGTTCTTCTTTATTGGTTCTACTTTGGACTATCACCGTGGTACAAGGAACCGGACCATAACAATAAATATTTTCATGGTAAGTTTTTCGAATGCGCTATGATACCAAGATTGTATGAATTTGATCGCAATACTAAACTGGCTCCCAGATCGCAACAATTTATAGTTGAGCTTGGTACATGTAGTCGTAAATTCTACACTAAGCGTTGCTTTTCTCGCACTTCACGCTTGTGAAAATCCCTAACGGCTCCATGCTTTTCAGCCAACTTTAATCTGCAATAATTTAAATATAATACCAATCGCTCTATACTGTCCTGCTCTTTTCTCTTTCTACTCATTGGCAAGGTTTCTGTTACTAATTCCGCTTCACACTGTAACGCCTTGCATGTTAAGATTGTACTGCTTTGCTTGGGGTGATACCAATTAGAAAAGAATATTGAAGAAAGAAAGATAAATATATTTCTTTCTTTCTTTCTTTCTTTCTTTCTTTCTTTCTTTCTCCCTTTCACTTCACTTTATCATTTTTTTCTCTCTTTCAACTTCTACCTTTTTCTGATTTTCTTTTTCGTCTTTTTACTATTTTTCTCACTTCCTCTCCCTCTCCATTTCCCTATCATTTTCTCTCGTTTTTTTTTTCGTCTCTTTCATCCTCTCAGTCACGCTGGTTCTTTTTCCTTATCAGACTTTTACTCACGATTTCTCCCTTCTTTCATTTTCTTTTTTTTTTTTCCTTATTTCTTAATTGTAATTGTCCTTCTCTCTCTCTCTCTTTCGCTCTCCCTCTCTCTCTATCTCACCGTCTGTCTCTTAATCCTCTTCTCTTACTTTCTACATTTTACACCCTCACACTTCACTTACTTTTTTTCATTTTCTTTTCTCGTTTTCCATCGTTCTTCGATTAATTCTCTATCTATCTACCTATCTATCTATTTCAGGCTGTTCATCTCTCTCTCTCTCTCTCTCTCTCTCTCTCTCTCTCTCTTTATCTATCCGTCTATTTATTTCAGGCTGTTCATATCTATCTATCTATCTATCTATCTATGTAATTAGGTTAGGCTGTTCTTATCTACCTATATTTATTTATATATTTCTATCTATTTTAGTCTGTTCATATCTATCAAACTAATTCAGTCTGTTCCTATATATATATATATATATATATGTGTGTGTGTGTGTGTGTGTGTGTGTGTGTGTGTGTGTGTGTGTGTGTGTGTCTGTCTGTTCGTATCTATGTATCTTTTTCAGTCTGTTCATATCTATCTATCTATCTGTTTCGGTCTGTTCATATCTATGTATCTATCTATCTATTTAAATAATTTGCCCCACTCAAAGCGGTAATGCCACTAGTACACAAGGATTCACAGGAAGTAAAAGTGAAAGTTGATAGGGGAGGATTGAGGAAAGGACCAGAATGAGTAGGGTTCAAATCAACAGAAGATGGCAATTGACGTTGCATTTAAATTTTTGAAGAATACAGTTATCAAGGAAGCAAGAGAAATTGAAGGGAGTTTTACAGGTTGGAAGTGCAACAAATAAACTGTTGGGGAAGTGGCGGTTGCATTTAGCTATTTCAACAATAAAACGGTGGGACCTAGTTGCCAATCTAGTAAATTAAATTCATATAGTGGAGGCACCATGAAAAAAGGTTCATCGAAGCAGTTACCATGAACATATTTGAAAAAGGGAAGTCAGAAAAGATGTTACGTTATGTCGGGACATCACTACATGTCACGGGACGATTATTGAAATTTTCAAGCCATTTCTTGCCCCAGTTAACCACTGATTGGATGTTCTTTTCAAGAGCAGTTGCTAGATTTACTTTGTCATATCTATCATGTTTGCTACTGAGACAAATAAATGGCAGTTTCATTTTTTTTTTTTACGCATTCAAACCCAAGCAAGGCGAGAAGCCCCTAGCACGCAAGGAGTTACAGAGAGTTGGAGCGAGAACAAAGAGGAGTGATGAAGAGAAGGTTAGGAGATAGATCAGGGCATCTAGAGACGTCGATTGACATTACATTTGAATACTTGGAGATTATAGCTATCAGGGAAACAGGAAAAGGGAAGGAAGTTCCACAAGCGAGAAGAGCGAGACATGAAGCTATTGGAGTAGAAGAGATGTTTACATTTGACAGTTTCTACAGTGAAAGGCTGAAAGCGAGATGCCAGCCTAGTAGAACGCTTAAATTCATGAAGTCTGGGAACCAGCGAAAGCCGCTCATCGGAGCAGTTACCGTGAAAGTATTTTTAAAAAAAATAAAGAGGTAACGGCACGTGTGTCAGAGAGCGGCTGCAGACGAGATGCCAGATCAGTGCCAATTACATTGCATATCCGTCTTTGGATTTTATCAAGGACCTTGAGACAATTAGAAGGGCCTCCAGACCATATATGGCAGCAATACTCCATGCAAGTGCGAATGGTTGATTTGTAGATTTGAAGGATCGACTCCGGCGAGAAAAATTTCCTGGCGCGGCACAGGGAGCCAACTTTCCTTGCGGTGGACGAAGCTATTGACTCAACGTATTCGTTCCATCTCAGATCAACGGACAATGTGAGACTGAGCAGCCGCAAAGAGGTGCTCTCGTGGAGTTGAGCGTCAGACATTCTAATGGGAGGCAGGGATGGTTCTCTCTGTTGAGTAATAGAGAGCAGTTTTGTTTTTGAGGCATTAAAGTTAACCAGCCAATTCCTGCCCCAGATCACAACCGATTCGAGGTCTTTTTCTAGACAAACGACCAGATTAGTTTTGTCAACGGCCAGTTTGTCATTTACATAAATATCTTGCTAGGAACTGTTGACATCAGGGAGATCATTGAGGAAGATCAGAAACAGTGTAGGACCCAGGATAGAGTCTTGGGGACGCTCGCATTTATATGAATGGATATGGAAGCGATCTCATTTATACCATCTTGATTTTAGCATTTTTAGTAATGATTGGATTAAACTAGATATTCGTCCCGTGACACCGTAGCCCTGTCAAGCGCCTTCGAGATATATTGAGCCATAGCCCGAGCTTCGCCATTCTTAACTAGAACTTGATATGCAAATTCAGTGATGACCGTTAACACATACCTATGTTACTTTTTTTCTCCCTTTTTCCTTTTCTTCGTCTTTTTCGTCCTCTCTGTCTCGTTGTTTCATTTTCCTTCACCCATTTTCATTCCAATTTCTCTAGTTTTTTCTCTTTCCTTATCGCTGCCATTCTTTTTCCTATTTTTACTTTCTTAGTGTCTCCATGCTCATCTTTTCTCTTCGGATTGTCATCCTCACCCCGTCTGTTCCCGCCAATTTTTTAATCTTTTTCTAGTATTTTCCTTTTAATTCTCTATTTCTTTCTTTCTTTCTCCTGACTTTCCTCTTTCTTTTCACTCCCTTTCTCACTATATTCATTGTTTCTGTCTCTTTCCTAAATGATATTGATTCACAGCCAGTTCTATTTCTCAATTACGTTCGTTTTTTCTCTCTTTTTCTTTCCTCGTCATATTTTCACCCTCTCTAATGTGTCCTCTCTTCTTCCTTCTCTCCCTGTTGTTTACATCTTTCTCTTTTTTTCTGTTTCTCTCATTTCTTCTCTTTCTTATTGTGAATAAAACGATCACCGTTTTCTCTATTCATTTCAACCAAGAATCATAGACATTTTTTTAATCAGCAGGAGCTGAATTACTTTTCTCTTTTATTTATATTCTCCAGCTTATCAAATTGATTGTTTCCAGCATCGATCCTCTTATCGTTCTAGACTTTTTCGATATCAATACATATTGCAAACAATTTATCTTCATTACTTAGCGTCTCCAATTATCAATCAATCAATCAATATATTCCATATGTTTGTTATTCCGTAGGTTTTACAGTTTCCGGAATGTTTAGAAAGAATCTTTTATTCATATGAGTCTATCGATCCATTGTTCAGCCATCAAAACATTTTCCAAGGCTTTCTAAGATCTGATTCCACCTTTCAACTAAACTCTGCATTCTATTATAAAAGAACGATTCCGGTTTTGATTTGTTGATTGATTTTTACGGTCTATTAACCCTTTGCAGGTTATTTAAAGCCAAAACATATTTTAGATTGTAAGATGATTTTTTTCCGTTTTTATTTTTTTTAGATATTAATGATATATTGATACGAGTCGTTGTTGAAATGTTTTTTTCTGACAGTCTATTAACCCTTTAAGCCAGAAAATATTTTATATTGTAAGATTTTTTTTCGATAATAATGATTTACTGATGCAAGTCGTATTAATTAACCCATAGCGAGGGGAAGAAGATGTGGATTCATAACTTTCCCAAGGTTTTTTTTTTTTTACGCGTAAGTGAATATAACGAACTGCACTTGAATTGGAACTCGGCTCTCCGATTTACAATTCCGAGCCATTATCCTTTACTCCACCAGCACATCCACGCTTACAGCATCTTTTATTCCCAAGTGGTCACCCATCTATATTCTGACCAGGCCCGATGTTGCTTAACTTCAATGACTGTACGAGAACCGGTGGTTCAACGTAATATGTAATTATGAAGAAATTGAGAACTGACAGGAGAATCTCTTTTTTCTTTTACATGCCGCATCCCTCCAGGGCGTAGGTGATCATGGCCCTTCCCTGTTGATTCTTTGTAGACTTTAGTGCTTCTTACTATCCTTTCTTCTCTTTGTTCTGTTATCCATTAAGACAAGCCTGTTAGGTAGGTAGTTTATTCGCTCTTTCTCTCTGTTCATATTACCTTCAATATGCCCCGTGAGTATCAAATTCTCCAAGCCCTCTTTCCTCATTACATGCCTCATGTTATTGGTTTTATTGATATAATCATGTCTGAAGATCACATCGACACTTGAAATTGAAAATTAATTGGAGACTAATATCGACAATTGGATTAAGTGCATTGACAACGAAAGAGATTTGTCTTAATATTTGTTATTTTTTATTCTATTGTTCGCCGAATATAAGGTCAATGAGAAAGTGAAGTTAGAGGGTTGTTGAATGAGATTGTAATAAGGGTGTAAGGGTTGGAACTTAGAAGTGTATATTATAAAGACAGGTAGGACAGGTGACTGTTGACCCAAGAGTTGAAGTAGTTAAGATGGTAGTGATCGGGAAGACATCTTATCGGAGCCCAATCTACAAAGTAACAGTTCTGAGGAAGAAGCTGCCTAGGTAGAATTTCCACATTATTAATGGATTACCAAGGGAAGTAGATTAAGCTAGTCTACCTGGCAAGGGAGGTCCTTGCTGTTTGGGCCTGGGCTGATAGAACTAAAGGAATGTATTTAGTCTCAGCAAATGAAAATAGCGATAGACTTTGGGAGAGAGTTTTTTGGATGGTAAATAATTCAGCATTTATGGAACACTTGAACGTTTATGAAGGCGGAAGATTGTGCAGCTCCAGAAATACTCCATATTTGCTCTTGATCTGACTCTTGTGTAAATAGAACACGGCAGTTGGGTGTCAGGTAATATTTGGAGAAGTAAAAGAATAGGAACTTATGCAAAATAGATGATTTTAGTCCATTTGCTACAGACTTTTTTTATACATTTATATATGGTTACCATGATGAAATGTATATACCCCTCTTGCACACATAAACATCCCACCAATACCCCTACCCATAATGCTGCCATTCATATCCGCCCTAAAACTAACCCTAGCACATCACCCACCCAATCGCTATTTCTCATCGTGTTTCCTGTTTACCATTTCGTTCTGTCTATTTTTTCTCAGCTCTTATCTCCGCTTCACATCTGTCTACGATTAATTTGTTTTCTTTATTTTAATCTCATTATTGATTGTACTTCATGATGTCCACATGCATCGCCATATTTGATGCGTATATTTCTTCCCCATCTGATTCGATACTTCGGCGTCTCAAAGCCGAATATATGATTGTTTCTATTGTAACCATTGCTACCACGACAAAGCTTGCTTTTACATAACTTTCAGCATCACGATTTTATCAGTTGAACATTGTTATGCTGTATGCGTGTGTAAAAGACTATACATCAATTGCAAGAAGACAGAATGCACAATTGTCAGCAAAAAAAAAAAAAAAAAAACAGCCCAACATGCAAATTACAAATTGGAGATACCAAAATCAAACAAGTAGAAAAAAATCCAAACATCCGAGAAGTGTTTTAACAGAGGACTGTAAACTGATTTCCTAATATTCGAATGCGTATTGGGGTAGAGAAATATGTCTTACAAAAGATAAACAAAGTATTTATAATCAGGAAAATTTCCTTAGAAACAGAGAAACTACTACTGGACTGTTACGCAATATCAATCATTTTTTTATGACAGTGGATACTGGACAATCTCCTAAAAGATAGCTAATAGCAGATCATAGATTTTTTAAATGAGATAGATAGATAGATAGATAGGATAGATATGAACAGACTGAAATAGATAGATTGAAATAACAGACTGAAATAGATAGATAGATAGATAGATAGATAGATAGATAGATAGATAGATAGATAGATATGAACAGAAATAGATAATAGATAGATAGATAGATAGATAGATAGATAGATAGATAGATAGAAATGAATAGATAGATGGATAGATAGATAGATAGACATGAACAGACTGAAATAGATAGATTGAAATGAACAGACTGAAATAGATAGATAGATAGATAGATATGAACAGACTGAAATAGATAGATAGATATATAGATAGATAGATAAATAGATGAACAGGCTGAAATAAAGATTTGCTTTTTTCTCTTCTTTCTCAAAACAACAAAGAAAATATGTTTTTCAGAATCTCATATACGTAAGTTACAGCTGTTTTTAATAAAACAAATTATAACAAAAAATACCACTTGAAATTGCTTGAGACCATTTATATTAAGTCTTAACAGCCTTTCCTCTGTAAAGAATGACTGCTGGGTCTAAATGTAATTTGTCTGAAATTCATGCTACTGATTGCCTTGTAGTCCATTTTTGCCTATCCCTTTTTTTATTACTTGTGCTCGTTTGGCTAATCTTCAAAAAAGGTTACCTAGTTTTCGTGGCTGGTCCTGAGTGACACCAAAAAACTTCAACACCGGAGCATACTACTGAGTGACCTTTCATATTACCAGCACTTTCCAATATCCACAGTTCTTTAACGCACGTTATTGTTGCTGCATAGAACCAATGCTTGCTAACTAGAAATTACCAAGCACATTTACAAAAATATAAAATTGTTGTGACCCGAAATGCAGATTCTGTGACGAATATACAGAAACCATTGATCATCTTGGATCAGGTTCCACGGTATTGGCACCCACTGAATATAAAACACGGCATGACAGCGTGGGCCAATATCTGCAATGGAAAATCTGCAAGAAATTGGTATGAACACCACCCAGACCCGGCTATAGGACATGTGACAATTTTATAAGACTACACAATACACACAGATAGAACAATAAAAGCTAACCGCCTATACATCGTGATTATAGACCGCAAAGACAAAATGGGCCTTTTTAATGACATAGCGGTCCCTGTAGACTGCGATGCAACTTTGAAAATCATTAAAAAACAAATACGAAAATATAAGGAAATTTAAATCTCAAAAATGTGGTACATGAGGACACCAAAATTACATTTTTAGTTGGAGCCATCGCATTAATTGGAAAAGATTCTTATAGACACATTGAAGGGATTCCTGGTAGCCCATACCTTAAAGGAATACAAATAATTGTACTCACAAGTACAACTCCCACACCTTACGAAGGGTTTTATCTATGTAAAATATGCGTGATGTTTTTTTTTAAATTGCTCAGTGGAAAATGTGATGATGCCATTTGTGACCTTAGGTCTCTGGTCAGGACCCGGAAAGAAATGAGTATAGACCAGAAATCAATACAGGGTGCGATGGATATATTGTCGTCTGAATAACGCAAAAATGAAAATAACTGATATCCCATTTTTAACAGATATACAGGGTGCGATGGATAAATTGTCGTCTAAATGAGGCAAACATGGAAATAACACTGGCCTCACTTTTAAGATATACAGGGTGCGATGGATAAATTGTCGTCAAAGTGACGCAAACATGAAAATAACACTGACCATTTTTAAAAGATATACAGGGTGCGATGGATACATTGTCGTCTAAATGACGCAAAAATCAAAATAACACTGGCCTCACTTTTGATATACAGGGTGCGATGGATAAATTGTCGTCTAAGTGACGCAATAATGAAAATAACACTGACATCATTTCAACAGATATACAGGGCGCGATGGATAAATTGTCGTCTAAATGACGCAAAAATCAAAATAACACTGACATCTCATTTTAACAGATATATGCACCAAAATTACACAAAAATACCTCGAAATATTAAAAAGTAAATTTATTCAATAAAACTTCAACCATGACATTCAGATGACTTCGGAATCTCCTGCAGCTCTTCTGGGTGGTCTCCTTGTTTAGGTTGACGAATTCTGCCATAATGCTTGTCTTCAGTTCATCTTTGGTATTAGAAAGAGTTTTGTCTGTCTCTCACTA